CGATCCTTTTCTGAATTGGCAATACCTCCCAACTTTGTGTCATCCGCAAACTTTATTAGCACACTCCCACTTTTAGTGCCAAGGTCAGTAATAAAAAGATTAAATAAGATTGGTCCCAAAACTGATCTCTGAGGAATTCTGCTAGTAACCTCCCTCCAACCTGACAGTTCACCTTTCAGTATGACTCACTGTAGTCTCCCCTGTAACCAGTTGCTTATCCACTTCTCAATTTTCATATTGATCCCCATCTTTTCCAAATTACCAATAATTCCCCATGAGGTACTGTATCAAATGCCATACTGAAATCGAGGTAGATTAGATCCGCTGCGTTTCCTTTATCTAAAAAATCTGTTACTTTCTCAAAGAAGGAGATCAGGTTGGTTTGGCACGATCTACCTTTTGTAAAACCGTGTTGTAATTTGTCCCAATTGCCATTAACCTCAATGTCCCTAACTACTTTCTCCTTCAAATTTTTTTCCAAGACCTTGCATACTACAGATGTCAAACTAACAGACCTGTAGTTACCCGGGTCTCTTTTTTTCCCTTTCTTAAAAATAGGAACTGTATTAGCAATTCTCCAGTCAAATGGTACAACCCCTGAGTTTAGAGAGTCATTAAAAATTTTCGCTAATGGATTTGCAATTTCATGTGCCAGTTCCTTTAATATTCATGGATGAAGATTATCTGCCCCCCCCCCGATTTACTCCCATTAAGCTGTTTGAGTTTGGCTTTTACCTCGGATATGGTAATATCTACCTCCATATCCTTATTCCCATTTGTTATGTTGCCTCCCTAGGCTCCCCATTAGCCTCATTAAAGACTGAAGCAAAGTGTTTAAGTAGTTGGCCATGCCTAGATTATCCTTAACCTCCACTCCATTCTCAGTTATTAGCGCTCCCACGTCTTCAGTTTTTGTTTTTTTCCTATTTATATGGCTATAAAACCTTTTACTATTGGTTTTTATTCCCTTTGCAAGGTCCAACTCTTACATGACTTTTAGCCTCTCTCACTTTGTCCCTACAAGCTCTTAACCTCAATAAGGTAGCTTTCTTTGCTGGTCTCTCCCATCTTCCACTCCTTATATGCTTTCTGCTTTTTCTTAATCACCTCTCTGAGATGCTTGCTTATCCACCTAGGTCTAAAACACCTGCCTATACATTTTTTCCCCTTTCTTGGGATACAGGCTTCTGATAGCTTCTGCAACTTTAACTTAAAATAATCCCAGGCCTTTTCCGCCTTTAGATCCATTAATTCTTTAGTCCAATCCACTTCCCTAACTAATTTAGTAAATTTATTAAAGTTAGCCCTTTTGAAATAAAAAACCCTAGTCTCAGATTTATTTTTGTTTATCCTTCCATTTAGTTTGAACTGAATTAGCTCATGATCGCTCGAGCCAAGGTTGTCCCCTTCAACCATCTCTTCTATGAGGTCCTCACTACTCACCAAAACCAAATCTAAAATGGCATCCCCCATGTTGTTTCAGCAACTCCTTGATGAAGGAATTCATCAGCTATCGTATTTAGGGAAATCTGAGCCCTATTATTATTACTAGCACTTGTTCTCCAGTCTATATCTGGAAAGTTGAAGTCTCCCATGAGTTCTGCCAAAGAGATTCCTTACGAAGTGTTAATGAAGGAATTCTTAATGATTCATCATTCACATTATACATTGCTGATCAAACAAAATAGCAAATAACGTCCATCAGGATGTGATAGTATCAAACTGATGAATTCAGACTTGCCCACAGGTAATTCAAAGATCATAATTTAGCATTGTCATCCATAATGGAAATAAAACACCATTGTTAAATCCTGATACAAGCATGCCATTTTTACAGTATTCATTCTTTAATATATTATACATGCAAATCTCACTGTGATAAAATCTCAGTGTGAAAGAATCATTTGATCGTCAAATGGAGTTGCAAAATTATTCCATAGAATCTCACAGTTCAGAGCAGCTCAGCATTTCAGGATGGTTGTAACTCTGAGATGTTCATAATTATTGTTCCTTCAACAGTTTACAATTCAGTATTGACTTAACATAGTTTTGAATCTTTACTATGCAGAAAAAAATGCTGCTTTTAACTATTTTTATTTTTAAATAACACAAGCAAAAAAAGTTCCCTTATTCATCATATCTTTTCAATTCTTCCCCCTCCCTCCCAACTTTTTTAGTACTTTATGTCTATCACAGTACTTATTTGTCATGGGGCTTTTTTTTTTTTTTTTGGTCTTTGCTGCTGCCTGTGTTCTGGTCCAAATGAGGAGTGTGGTTCACAAGTCAGTTCATAACTCTAGTGTTAGTAACTTTGAGGTTCTCCTGCAGTTGCCACGGCATCCAGACATTCCATTGCCATGTTTGGATCATGACCTTCTTTCATTGGGAATTTATTCAGTATGACATATCCATGGCAATGCAACAACAAAAAGATACGTTTCAATTCATTTGTAGTTCTCTGTGAATCTAGTCATTGTCTTCTGTCCCCCTGCTACCCTCCCATCCTTTGAGAGGAAACAAGTAGCCTTATTAGGTTTGCTTAGCATATCTTGAGATGCCTTGCAAAGCCCTATCATATAATATGAGGCACACACCTGTATAGTATTGAGACTTCTGCAGGGTCGAATGAGCTTTACTCAGATGGGTGGACTTCAGAAAAACTGTGCCCCAGAATCCACATGCAGGTCTAGAACTGTAGCATGAATACCACTAGTGTAGTATACTAGTTTGGCAGTAGTATCATAATGCAGACTGAGTAAGAGTATATGTTTTAATAAAATAGTTGCAGTATTAAGGGTAAACTTACCTTCTATCACTATAAATAAGAGATGACATCGACTGGGAAAAAATGTGCTCTGTTTCATATAACAATAGTTTAAAATAAGGATGATAAAGACTGACTCATAAGGGAAAATAAATCTCAGACCTATATAATTTATTTTATGTCTGGCTCATAATTAAGCAATAAGACATGACAGACTCAGTGGTTAAAATACACCTCAGGTGTTGGGAGGTGTCGTGCAATGATGTGTCTGCAGCCACAAACTTGCAAACTGTCAAGGTTCTCAAGCTTTGTAGGACTGATTAGTGTTGGGCTAGGAAACCTACAAGAAAGGCTGACAATGTATGTGACAGATTATGATGTCCATATTGATTTATTTTTCAAAAGAGCGCAATAAAAGAATTGCATGTGCCCAGTGCCCATAAGTGGAGCTGGAATTTGTCTGTTGCTTAGGATCTGGCTGCCCTGGAGCAGTGTAAATTCCAGCTCAAGGAGACATACTTCCACTTCTGACTGAGCTAGTGCACTAAAAATGGAAGTAAGGCTGCTGCAGCGTAAGGAAGGAAGGGGGCTAGTATGTATCTATGGCTTCAGACAAGGACATCCTGCCCTTGTACACTGCAACCACATTTCTGTTTTTAATGCACTAGTTCAGTCAGAGCCAGCACAGGCATGTCCCCTTAAGCTGAGATTTACACATTCCAGCACCAGTGTAGACATATCCAACATCACCTAAATAAGAGCCAGATTTTCAAAACTGCTCAGTGCCCACCAGTTTCTGCTGTGACACTTGTTGACAGATTTTCAGAATAGCTCAGTATCCAACATACGGCTTCTCCTTGGCTTCACCTCAGAAATATTCCTTAAACTGTAGTATCCAGATATTTGTCCAGAGGGTTCCGTGATATGGGTTGAATCTAAAATATACAGTGTTCAATCTACTGTCCTCTTTCTGCAGGTTCTATGGCCCCTTATGCTCTCTTTCCTGGTCCTTTGCTCCTTTCTGAACTATGTAATAGAACATAGCCTTCTACTTTGAAATGCTCAGAGTTGGGGTTTGTTTTTTTTGAAGGAAAGTCAGTTCTTCAAGAACAGAACAGGCTGTGCCCAAATTCACAAAGAACATTTTCCCACTTAATCCACCAGCAAGTCTTAGGGTGAAATCTTGTCTCCACTGAAGAAAAGAGGATGGGAGTTTTGCATTGAATTCAGTGGGGCTAGGATTTCCATCTTATTGTCTAATATTGCACTAATTCTTGTATATCTGATTAAGCGTCTTAATGTCATAGGATTACATTGACTTGATAAACACATTTTAAAATGGAAAAGTCAGTTGAAAGTTATAGGCATCACTAACAAGGACAAGTAAAATGCAGTCAAAAATTACATTCTCTTTTATCTTCCTACATTACTTGGGTGCATCTACACAGCACCCTAAACTTGAAATAAGATATGGAATTAATTTTGATTAAATTTCAAAATAGGAAGTTTTGAAATGTGGCTCATCTACACAGCACCAAATTTTGAAATAACATGCTATTTCAAGACATTCCTTAAGCCTTGTGGAACGAGGTTTACTGGGATGTCAAAATAGTGCGGCCGTTATTTGAAAATATTTCAAAATAATGTGTGTTTTGTTAAGACATAGGGTAGCTATTTCGGGATAACTCTGGTATCCTGAAATAGCCATCCAGTGTAGACATACCCTATAGAGATTTGTAAGTTTGAGGAAAGTATGTTGTGTCTCTTGTTTTCCTGCTGCTTTGTCATGCTTCCGAATTAAGCTGATATTCCTCTCAGTACCACTTTAAGTTCTGGAGTTCACGTATATATGAAATGTTATATGGAAATGAACTGTTATCTTTTTAACAATTCAGCATTTGTGTTTTTTTTAAATGTGCCTTTTAAACTACCTTAAGCAATCAGTTCAAGCTGCATAATGTAAAATTGCTGAACTAATTCATGTCTCCTTCATTTAGTTTGATCAAGCAGCTAATGCAGAATTAGCGTGGATTGCAGAAACAGAAAACAAATTGATGTCTCTGGGTGATATTAGGCTTGAGCAAGACCAGACCGCTGCTCAACTACAAGTTCAAAAGGTAAAGAAATGCATTTCTAACTGTCATGTTAATTATTGGCCAATGCTTTTTTGGTCTAGAAAATGTACTAGCATAATTTAATTTTAAGTCCATCATAATGCACTTCGAAAATAGTTTTCGCTTCATGTCCTCAACCTTTATTACTGACCAGTATTTATTGTGTCACAAGGCATTTACCATGGAGATTCTGAGACACAAGGATGCTATAGATGAGCTCATTGAAACTGCGGATGAGATTATGAACACATGCACCGAAGAGGAGAAACAGTCCATGAAGGTAAGGAACTATAACTCACAGCTGCCATCATGGCTTTGAAGCTCTGCATTTACAGAACCACTTCCACAGGGTCACATTTAATTTTTCACTATTATTGATTGGCAGAGTTCATTTGTTGTGAATAGGAGATCATTTGATCTGAGCAAATAAAGATAAAGGAAGGGATGCTCAAGGCACAAATTTCCTTTGGTCTTCTTTTGTTAGAAATGTTCAGCAAGTAAGCACTGAGTATTCACTTCATTGTGTTCCAGTGATTTGTGGAGTCTGATTTTGCCATCTTTATCCACCATTTGACTATCTGAGTAACTAAGTATCAGTCAACATGAGTAAGTGTGACAGAACTGGACCCCTTCTAACCCACAGCAATGCAGTAAAAGCCTTCTAGGAATCCTTTCACAGTAAAATCCAGATCCATGTTTGGCTTGTGTAGCAGGGTCATACAGTCAGGAGATGTGCCAAAGACAAGTGAAGAGGAATCTTGCCCCAACAGCTGTGGTGCCTTAAGCCCACTGATTCAAAGCCCACTGAAGTAAATGAGAATCTTTCCATTGATTTTAGAGCGCTTGGGTCAAGCCTCAACAAAGGATAGGAATAAATGGTCAGTTTTTGTAGTGAAGGGAGGTGAATAGCAAGGTCCCCAAAGGATCAATGCTGGGACTTGTGCTTCTCAATATTTTCCTTAATGATCTGGAAAAGGGAGAGAACAGAGAAGTAGTGGAGTTTGCAGTGGAAACAGAAGTATTCATACTCACACTTAAAACCGGAGCTAACTGCAGAGTATTACAGGGGGATTTCACAAAACTGGATGGCAAAATGGCAGGTAAAAATCAACATTGATAAGTGCAAAGTAATGCTCAATGGAAAGAACAATCCCAACAAAGGATGTAAAAAATGAATATTGATATTAAGCATGTAATCACTGCCAGGGCTAATAGCTTCTGGCCCTGCGGGGCTGCTGAAACTTTCAAGGCTCCCAGCCCCACAGGACTCCCAGCCTCATGCAGAGTTTAACCATTAATGGTAACCGATAAGCATTAGCTTATCTATTAACTGGTTAACCAGTTAAACTTTTTTAAATACCTAGTTCCAATTATACATATATACTCAAGAAAGAAAACCTGGCATCACCATGGATAATTGTCTGAAAATTTCAACTCGTTGTGCAGCTTCAGACAAACACCTAACAGAATGTTAGGGTCTATTAGTAAAGTGACAGAAAATATCACAGTACTACTGTACACCCTGTGTCTGAAATAATATATTGGAACTGGAAAAGGTTCAGAGAAGGGCAATGAAGATAATTAAAGGTATAGAGCAGAATCCATACACAGAGAGACTAAAAAGATTAGGTCTGTTTAGTTTATAAAAGAAAGGAATAAAAGGGAGATACGATGCAGATACATAAAATAAAAAAAAAGTGCGGAAAAAGTGAACACGGTAGTGTTGTTTATCCTTCTCACAATATGAAAACCAGCGGTGTCCTGTTAAAATTAATATGCAGAAGAATTAATTCAAAAAAAGAGGAAGTACTTTTTCTTACACCACATTGTAAAAAAGGTATAACTAGGTTCAAAAAAAGAATTAGATAAGTTTATGGAGGGGATTACATGGGTGGACACTCCAGCTGTCCTGTTCTGTACACTCTCCTGAAACACTGGTAATGGCCATTGTTGGAGACAGGATACTGGCCTAGATGGACCATTTAACCCAATATGTTCTTATCTTTGGGGGGCTATTTCAGCCAAGTGGCTAAAAAAGGCTGATGTGGACTTTTTGTTCCTTCTCTTATATGGGACTAGGGATGGGAGGTAGATTCTCCCTGCTTAAAGGCACTCAGCTTCCTTTGTGCTGGACATTGGTGAGCAAAGTGCTCACACCCTCCTTGCAAGAGTCCCCTGCTTCCAATGTATCTGATCTTTGTGCAGCAGAAAGGCACCAGTTCAGTTACATGGGAGATAGTCTTCAGCTGTGGAAAAGAAAGTTTATTTGCTCCTAAAATAAATAAGGAATTCAATTTATTTAAGTAAATGTCTGTAAAAGTAACCGAAGATGATTTCTTATGAGCTTTTGTTAAATATTTGTAATCTATTTAGTGTAAATTGCCATTTATCTGTGCATTAGATTGTGTATGGTTCTCTGGATGGTATCTTTTGTAACTTAATTACGTGCATGACATCATAAACTCAGGCTGGCTTGTTAGCCCAAAAAAGGGCATTCTATTTTGCAATCTGTTGTTTATTTATATATTTATTTATTTATTTTCAGCTCTTGTGTTCACTGTCTCATATGTTTCACAACAGTGATAAGGTGGACAGCTTTCCATGGGAGAAATGTATAGCTACTTGTTATCTTAATTTTTGTATTACTACTTACATATGTGTAAGAGATTTATCATTTTACTTGTGTACTTTTAACCATCACATTATTAGCATGATAGCATCACTGTTAGTTAATGTAAGCTAAAATATAAAAGAAATGTTTCACACTTTCTGCTGACTGTTTATAAGACCAGCCATGCCAGCTGAGGCTGTCTCTCATCAGATCTTGTAAACAAAGAGATTTGTGCCTAATCGGTCGCACTTTGATTTGAGAATGCCAAGGAAAAGTCAGGCTCTACCAAGAGTCTTGATGATAAGTCTATCGATGACAATCTTCTCCCTGAGGGTATGTCTACACTAGCCCCCTAGTTCGAACTAGGGAGGCTAATGTAGGCATTCGAAGTTGCAAATCGAGCCTGGGATTTAAATATCCCACGCTTGATTTGCATCTTCCTGGCCGGTCACTAATTTTTGAAATTCACAAGTCCGAAGTAACTGCCAGTGTCTACACATGGCAGGGACCTGGTAGTTCGAAATAAAGTCCTAAATCAAACTACCTGTTAAACCTCATTCCAGGAGGAATAATTGATTTAAATTAGTGCTACTAAAATCAGTATTTGGGTTAGTTTTATTTAATGGTGGTGTAATAAATATCATAACGCTTAGCTCTCTTTCAACCTTAAGTATTTAAACAGTGTCTGTTACCCAGGTATCTAAGTGCTGGTATTTCTTCCTAATGCTGTTTTAGAGAAAACTGGAAAGCCTCTTACAGAAATACGATATGGTCTGTCAAATGAATGCTGAAAGGAACCTCCAGCTGGAACGTGCTCAGTCCCTGGTTAACCAGTTCTGGGAGACTTACGAAGAGCTTTGGCCGTGGTTAACTGAAATAGAAATGGTCATCTCACAGCTTCCTGCTCCAGCTCTTGAATATGAAATTTTAAAGCAACAGCAAGAAGAGCATCGGGTAAGCACTCTGCAATTTTATAGAACAAAGCAGACAAGAAGATCCAGTATGTTGCAGCCTGCCTCCTTAGTACAGTAGAACTCTCAGATTTGAATGCATTTGATGTAGGAGTACACTTTTTAAAAAATTATATGAAATGATAGTCCAAAATAAAGTTAATTTAAACTTGTCACAGTTTCCCAAACTATGTATACAATCAGAACTTTCTAGTAGAGGACGTGAACAATAGAAACATGAAAGAGATTTGTAATTATAGCAGTAGATTTAGAATGTACAAGAGTTAAATAGCTAAGAAGTAAGTTTAAAAAGTTCAAACCAGGTGTGAGTGTTATAAGAACCCAAAACAAAAACAGATAAACAGAATTGAGAAAGAATAGGCAAGGAACAAGAAAAGAGAAATCTTGACCATCAAAAGAACTAGAGTATCTGCTCTGAGGCAACCTACCAGAGTGATTCAATACAAGTAGAATTCCTCAGACGTTGTCTGAACTATGAGAATGATGTGGTCTAAATGCATTTAGTAAGCAAACTGTATGTTCAGGGGCTCACTTTGCGGTTGTAATGAGTAATTTCTCATAACATTGCAGGATGCTTGGAAGTCATTTTTATTTGTTCCTCTTTATTTCAGATAAATAATGCCTATCCATATTTTAGGTGCTCTTTATTTATATAATATTATATAGATATACAAAACGTGGTAGGGTTTGGTTGGTTGGGGTTTTTTTGCTATTCCATTGGGAAGTTAATCTTATTTTCTTGATGAGCCAAGAAGATAATGAGACAACTAGATTTTCTAGTGTTTCAGCCAGACAGGGCCAGGCATGCAGCACTTTGGTTCCTGTGGATAATAGATGTGATTTCTAATATACAACGTATTTTTTAGATGTTTGCTGTAGCATTGACTGCAGGATTCAAGTTTAGATAATCTACTATATATTTGAGATAATTTGTCTGTGTGTCTGTTTGTTCAATAACTCCTCCTAAATGATAAGAACTAGGACTACCAAATTTGGTATATAGCTTCCTTTTAACATATCTTAAAACAAAGTAAGGCTTTGGTTGTGCCAGGAAAATGGGATGTGCCTGGAATGGGATTGCTTCTCATAAAACCATACAGAAAAGAGACAGAATCACCATCTGGGACAGCCCGATTCCTATGAGAACATTGCTGGCTGTTTCCCTTTGTCAGAGGGCGAGGGGAAAATACCCAGTTTGCTGTATTCCTCACTCTGGCTGGGGAGCACAGGAGACAGAAGAATCTGGACCAGCCTCAGCTGGGGAACATGCATGCCTGCTCTAGCTGTGTCTACTGGAGCTTCAGCAGCAATGGATAAGTGCTTCTCACCTGGCCTCAAGCTGCTGCAGTTTCAGAGGGCTGAGGTAGCCCTGTCCCTGGAGGGCTACTGAACCCCTTATCCTCAGCCCCACCCCAGAGCAATGATTTAAATGAAATATGTACATTTTCATTTTATTTTCCAAAAAACAAACATTAATTGAGTTAAGAACCCAAAAAACATCAGGTAAATCTTCTAGTAAAGTCATCAAATAAATCCTACTTATTAATTTAGTGAACTGAATATGATTTTGTCTACAGCCAAGATTATTTACTTTTGGGAATCATGTTTTGTACATTAATTATTCAGTATTCATATTATCTTCCTCAGTGCACTGATATTACAGCGTGTAAGTGTACTTAGTTCCACAGATCTTAAGTTTTAGTGACTCACTGTCTTGTTTTATCTGAGACTTTAATGCAAATGCACAGTTGAAATATATGGTTGATAAGTAGAGACTTCACCCAGTTTCCTTCAAACTATATATATTGTCCAGCAGAGACAAACATTTTCCAGTAAGAGATTAAGATTGGGTATATTACTTCATCTTTGCAAAATATTTTCCTTAGTTACAAACCTAATCTTGCTCACTTTTCTTATGTAATTAGGCCTACTGACTTCAGTTTTTCTGCTTTCATGAGTGCCCTTCATTGGTATTTTTACTAGATCATGCCATTAGCTGAAGATCTGTTTGTTTAGCAGAAGACTAATAGTATAAGGCTGTGTCTAGACTGGCCAGTTCTTCCGGAAAATCAGCCGCTTTTCCGGAAAAGTTGCCAGCTGTCTACACTGGCCTTTGAATTTCCGCAAAAGCACTGACTTCCTACTGCAAGAAATCAGTGCTTTTTGTGGAAATACTGTACTGCTCCCGTTTAGGCAAAAGTCCCTTTTGCGCAAAACTTTTGCGCAAAAGGGCCAGTGTGGACAGCTGAGATTTGTTTTCCACAAAAAAGCCCCAATCGCGAAAATGGCGATCGGGGCTTTTTTGCGGAAAAGTGTGTCTAGATTGGCTAGGGACACTTTTCCGCAAAAAGTGCTTTTGCGGAAAAGCGTCCGTGCCAATCTAGACGCTCTTTTCCGAAAATGCTTTTAACGGAAAACTTTTCAGTTAAAAGTATTTCCGGAAAATCATGCCAGTCTAGACGTAGCCTAAAAGTTGTTGTTGAATAATTAAACAGAAATACTGATTTTCTGGAATTGTTACCTAAATAGTTAGCTATGAGAAAGATCTCCTCTATTATATCTAGTCCTATTTTATTTTTGTTTTAAAGTTTTAAATATTAATACAGTTAACTGTAGACTATTTTGTTTATTTTACGATATTAAAATTGTAAATAGTAAAATTAATTTCACCATTATTAGTTTTATTCCATCTAGATTCATATACTGTTTCGTTCATCCTATTTTAATAACATAATAAATCAATCCAAGTGAAATTCATCCCTGAACAGAGAGCCACCTCAGCATCTGTATGTCAGTTAAATAGAACTTAAGTGGATACAAGGACCTTGTATGAGGACCCTGTTCTGATGCATAAGTCTAAATTTCTCTTAGAAGTGTGCAAAACCCCAATATCTGATATTTGGTAATACCCTTTTCTCCTTTTTTAGTACTATAGCATACCCAGCTCAAAAGATGGAACAAGGGTGGGTAAGCAGCTATACTGCCCTTCAGATGGGTTCCACAGAGGCAGCTGTGCTCCTTTTGGACATACTAGGATTCCTGCAGACCCTACAAATTCAGGTTACAGTTCTGTAGGCACACACTCAAATCATCCCACCCAAAGCTGCTGCCTCAACTTCTGGAAACTCTTATTCTTTTTGACTGTGACTCCAATTAACTCTTCAGTTTAGGCTTTGCTCTCTGACTCCAGCTATGACCCTTGGGTTCATTCTTGGATCTTCCCCATCTGCATTCAGTTCTAACTGGTATGCCAGACTCTTGCTCTAACTACAATAAAACTCCAGTGGTCCGGCACTTCTTATGGTCCGGCACCATCTGGAACCCGGAAGTGCTGGGCAATTGGAGTTGCTCTGCCCCAGACTTCCCCAAGTCAGCCGCTGCTGAAACTGAGTACTGTCTGACTCCGGGAAGCCCGGGCCATAGCAGCTGGGGTGCTGCCGGGTTGGTCCCACATCGCCGAGGGGCACATCCCCCCTACTCCACCCCAGATTCCTCACCCCCCCCCCCCATAGTCCGGCATATTTGATAATCTGGCACCCCCTGGGTCCTAAAGGTGACAGATTATCGGAAATTTACTGTAGTAGGCAAGGCTGCCCTTGAATTGGACATTAACACTTTCATAGTCCTATACAGTGCATTCTGAAATGTAATTCCACTGGGACTTTCCACTTTCAAAATAGCAGATCAATGAGACTTAATCAGGAATTACTAGGGTTCGCTACAATAGGAAGGGGGAGAGTCTTGCCTGCCAGAGAATGGGACCTAATTGGACAGGGAGTGAGTAACTTTCAGGCTGGATAAGAAGTCAGCTTACTCTCACAAACCCTTTTACCCACACTATCCCGAAGGTCTGGTGTTAAAAACAGTCGAGAGAATGGAAAGGCATAGGGGACAGGTTGGAACTTTAACTGATTTTCCCTAAAGGACTGGTGTTTATTTGGGGCTAATTTAATTTGCTTGTCCCTGTCAAAAAACCTAGCATGTATTTATAGATCCTGGAGGTGGGCAGGCTGGGGTCTTGTGACTGAAACTAGGGGCTTGGAAATGAGATATGTAGATTCTATTCCCAGCTCTACCACTCACTTATTTAACCTCTCTGTACTTCAGTTTTCTTTTGTAAAGCCAGGATAATAAGACTTTCCATATCTACATCACAGAGTGCTTTGATTCTAATACAATGTTAATGCAGTACTTTGAGGTTGTTGGATAGAAGGCACTGTGTGATACGGATTAGTATTAACCCCAAGATGCATTATTTCAAGGGCAGATAGCCAGTGTAGTTATGCAGTTATCTGTACTATTACTTCTATTACAAGAATTACAGACTTTATCATGAAATGGATTGGCCATGGCCAGTATTGTGTGCACGGTTAGCATCTTTGGTATAATAATATGTTCTACATTACAGCCTCTCCCCGAGTTACAAACGAGTTACGGACCAAACACTTGGCCGTAACTCGATCTGTTTGTAACTTGGACCCCATTGAGTTACATAGCGACCACGCTGTTTGTGAGCACGGGTCGCGTTCGTAACTCAGGGACCGCCTTTATGACCGCTTCATGGGAGCTTTGGTCGTAAATGCGAACGGTCGTAACTTAACCATTTGCAACTCGGGGACCGGCTGTATTTACTTCATAGAGCTTCCTAGTATATCTTTAAATGTTACATTTTGTGCCTGGATAGCTATTCAGTGTTGGAGAGAGAACCATCACAGACAGGCCAATGACTGACTATATTCGATGTGATTTGTGCTATACTTTAAGATAAAAAGTATTTGTTTAGAATGCGTTGCCAGCTGGATGTGTTAGAAGTACAGACAACTGTAATGTGGAGGTGTAAGCATAAGAAACTGATAATTTTTGTTTGGTTTGTTTATAGCAACTGCGTGAGCTGATTGCTGAGCACAAGCCTCATATAGATAAGATGAACAAAACTGGCCCTCAGTTGTTGGAGTTGAGCCCAGAAGAAGGTTTCTGTATCCAAGAGAAATATGTGGCGGCTGACACTCTTTACAGTCAAATTAAAGAAGATGTCAAAAAACGCGCTTTGGCACTGGATGAAGCCATTTCTCAGTCTACTCAGGTATCACTTTAAACTCAGAGTATCTTATTCAAATAGAAATATATACATTGTTATTAGGCTATGGATTAGCGATAAATGGCAGATTTATCTGACGTATGCTCCCATATGGCCTTGTAAATGCTTGTATCACTGCTCACAGCATTGTGTTTCTATTATTCTATTTATGCTTTCCTTACAACTTTGTATTGCCAAATGGTAAATCATTTTGAAGTCATTATTTCAGGAATGTCTGAGTGCTATATGTGGGATGTTACCTTTGCCTTCATTCTGGACAAACATGTTCTCTTCCATGCATATTAGTAATCCATGAGACCCCTTATTTAGGGGCACCGAGTCATTCAGCTAAATCACATATATACAGCTGGAACTTAGAACATTCAGCTGCAAATACAGACCTCTACCACTGAAGGAGAATCTTCATTAAGTGTTATTAGTAGAAGGGTTTATATCTTCTTTGTAGACCAGCCATTAGAGAATGAGATAATTGCACGATTAGAGGGTGTATCTACACAGCAGGGCTTAGCTCAATTTGCATAGCTTATTTCCAGTTATGTCAATTGCGTATCTATTTTTGAAATAACTTATTTAAAAAATAGGAGTGTCTGCATAGCACTTATTTAGAAAAAGACCACTCTTCCTCCAACTTCCCTTACTCCTTGTACAATGAGGGTTAGAGGAGTTGGAATAAGAAGTCCTACAGCTTGACAGTATTTTGACGTTATTTCAAAATACCTGCCTCCTGTGTAAATGCGGGCTAAGTTATTTCGAAATATCGTTACTGTGTAGACGTACCCTGAGTGAGCCTGTGTTTTATAATTAGAGCTATATGCAGTCATCATAACAGAAGTGCCAGGTTTTTACCAGATTTCATATTTCATTACAAACTTAAAACTCAGATCAGGTTTTTTATTGTTTTGTCTTTTCTCCAATTTATTTTCTTCCACATTCCTCCCTCTTTTATACCCCCAGTTCCATGACAAGATAGATCCAACGCTTGAGAGTTTGGAACGCATAGCTGAACGTCTGAGGCAGCCACCTTCAATCTCAGCTGAGGTTGAGAAAATTAAAGAGCAGATCAGCGAAAATAAGAATGTGTCAGTAGATCTGGAAAAACTTCAACCCGTGTATGAGACACTCAAACAGCGTGGGGAGGAAATGATAGCTCGCTCAGAGGGAGCTGATAAGGATGTATCTGCTAAAGGTAATAATTTATCTGAAAGGTTTCTTTTTCTAATTGAAATAAACTAAACTATGGTAGATAAAATCTCCATTTTTCTTTTTGGTTACCAGCTAGTTCATTTTGAATGTTCTCGTGGAGAAGCGTCTAAAGATTTTTTTAAAGGAATCTGTTTGCTTTATGAACTGTTGTCCTAAACCAAGCCTTTGGGACTCTTTTAAAGTGCAATGTAAATTGTTTCTGTTTACCATTGTTGAGTATTTTACAATCTGAATTAAAAAGCTAGCTGGTTTCCTCCATACGGAGTATACACGTGACATACATATTCATGAAGTATCACTACAAAAGTAAACATAAACAGTGGTTGTCCTCTATTGGTGTAATAGAATCCATTTGCCTTTTTAGCTGTTCAGGATAAACTTAAGCAAATGGTTTTCATCTGGGAAGATATCCAGGCCTTGGCGGAGGAAAGGGAGGCCAAATTGCTGGATGTGATGGATCTAGCTGAAAAGTTCTGGTGTGATCACATGACTCTTATAGTCACTATTAAAGATATTCAGGATTTCATCCGAGAACTGGAGGGACCTGGAGTTGACCCCTCTGTAGTCAAACAACAGCAAGAAGCTGCAGAGGTCAGTAGAATTTTTTTTTAAAGGTTTAAAGAATTTTTTTTCAATATACAGAGGAAATGTGATTTTTTTTACAAAATTATCATGGAACACAGCAAGAGAATTGTCCTTTAGAAACCAACAAGGATAGTTACATAGAAATTAACAATATTTCAAGACTGCATGGCAAATAATCAGTATATCAACACTTTTGTTTTAAGTGCACAAAGATTTCCAACATGTATATGTCTAGATGCTTATCTGTGTCCGTGTGTATGAGCATTAAATATGTAATAGAAATTAAACAAGTCATACATATTTTAAATTATCTGAGTATCATGTACTATTTGATATGAAATGAATATGCTTTCTTCCAAGCCTACAGTCATTTATACTGATTAAAACAAGATAGAAGTAACAATGGTAATCACTGAAAAACAAAAATAGTAAGTTGAGAACTCCAAATGATTAAAATCTTCTAGTTTGTACTTTTCACTTTTGTACAAAATCACGTATCCTTATAAGCTTCATTTTGGCAGGAAGTGGGTGCATATACACTGTATGCTTATTTGGAAATAAGCTATTCTGGATTAGTTATTCAAAAATAGCTTATTTCAAAATAGCACATCTACACTGCAGAGAAGCCTCAAAATTAGTCTGAGGTGGACTTCCCTAATGCAGACGTGTTATCTCAGTTTAAAGCCTCAGGAGGCACTGGGAAGGAATATCTTAGAATGGCCCTGGTGAGGGGCTATTTCAAAATAGCAGCAGTGGAGTGTCTACACATGCCTTATTTCGAAATAACTATTTTGGAATAGGCATTACTCCTTGTAGAATGAGGTTTACAGATTTCAAAATAAGTTGTCCATTATTTCAAAAACATTTTGAAATAACGGAATGGTCACATTGTTATTTCGAAATAATGCTAAGTTATCTTGAAATAATGGTGCAGTGTAGGCGCGCCCTTACATGAAGGCCAATTTGCACCACTCTGTCAGTATAAAGAGGCATTATAAGTGAGCCTGTATTTATGCTTACTTCAAGAACCTATCACATTGCCACAGATGCCTCATATATGACCTTGGTGTCAATATGAATCAAGGCTTCTAATGTTGTATCTTCTAAGCAACTGTATCTATATTGTGTTTTGAAATAGAGGAACATTGAAATTTTTTATTTTTTTTCTCCTTTTAGGCTATCAAAGAAGAAGTTGATGGACTGCAAGAAGAATTGGATACAGTGGTAAACTTAGGTTCTGAACTTATAGCTGCTTGTGGTGAACCTGACAAACCTATTGTGAATAAGAGCATAGATGAGGTATGAGTAACATAAATGCTTGATACTTACTAATATGTTATAGTATTTGTGTACTGTAGAAGCGATAGTTCATCAGAAAACACTTTGAAGAAGTGTAATGTTAAAGTTTTGGGGCCAATTTGACTCTGACAAAACACATTGCCTTCAGTTAGAACAAGGTATGACCCCGATTTATCTAAATTCTGACTGAAATATTTCACTGTTTAATTGCAGTTAAATTCAGCTTGGGACACTCTAAACAAAGCATGGAAAGAGAGGGTAGACAAACTTTCTGAAGCTATGCAGGCTGCTGTTCAGTACCAAGATGGTCTGCAGGTAATCTTGAATATGAAATGTTATTATGTTTTATGTCTTAGAAAAAAAAACCTATTACTGGGTAGCTGTCAATTGATTTTATCTGTAGGATTATGGTGAGCATTTTCTTCTATAAACAGAAGTATTTTCACAGATTTGCTGCATAATGTCATAAATATGCTGGTTTACATTCCTTACCTAATTGTTTTTTCATATTGTATTTAGATTTTAAGTTAAAGTTTCATTGTTTTTACTAGACTGAGTGCAGATTTTATTTGTTCCCGCACATTTCGCATGGTAGCCCTGCGGATAGGCAACATTCCATTATGATACATTCAGTACTTCAGATAATATGTAAGTTGAGGCTGTGTCACAATATTTGCATGTGCTAAAAGGGAAGTAAACACAAATTAAACAGTTCAAATCCTAAGTGCTGCAGTTTTCTTGGGAGAGAAGAGGAATTCAAGGAACTCTCCTTTTACTGCAGATCTTTCGTTTGTACAAGAAGTAGACGATTTTGCATTGCAAAACTGTTCTGTGGTGGAGAGCCATCGTCCTTCTTGGCAAATGGCACAGGGGCCATAATACTACTTGAAAACTGAGGCAATCTTTTTTCCGTCTGCAGTCCACTGTTGCTGTTGCAGCCCCTAGGAGCTATTGGCATAATACAGAGCCCCCTTGAGGCTGTTGTCTGAACAGCCTCAATATTGGGGAGGAGACATAAATGTGACTTGAAGTTACTTTTGCACCTCCCTGTTGAGCTTGGTCAGTTGCATGCAGTTGGTCAGTCCACACTCTTATACAATGAAAATTCACGTTGATTTCAGTTGGAATTTTTGTTTAAGTCATTAATAAAAGCCAGATTTCATTCAGTGGCATGAGCTATAAAGATCAGTCTGAGGAAAGGATGAGAACACTACAGAAATAGCAGTTTGTACAGTGCATTTGCTGTAATAGAAATCCCATTGAAATAAGTGAAAATACTTAAAGTAAAATACTATGTAATATGAGTAACCATGATAGAAACTTGCTGTTAATAAGAGGCCAATCCTGTACCTCTTAAATGCATATTGCTGGCACTGAAATCAGTGGGGTTTTTGTATATTCACGTATTACCTGATGTTAGTGTACTCAATATTTGGATTGTCAAGAAACTATCTAACAACTTAATTTTTCCAGATTATTTTCTTATGAAGAAGGTAATGAAGTCATTTTGTGCAATGGCAGATAAACTCAGCATTATCTACTACATTAAAATTATAGTATACATAGCTTTCAAACTATATACTTCATGACAAGATTTATCGTGTTGTTTCATTTATACTACAATTTATTGTTGCAACTTTCAGGCAATATTTGACTGGGTAGATATTGCTGGCAGTAAATTGGCTTCAATGTCACCAGTTGGAACTGATATAGAGACAGTGAAGCAGCAAACTGAGGAACTGAAGGTATGAACTAGTCCTTTATTTTTCTTATGTTATCATTCTGCATATTTCAGCAGCCATCTAGTTATATTAAAACTTCCAAATATCATAATGCTTTTATAGTAAGTAGCTTATTTTAGCTAGGTGAAAACCTTTGTCATTGACTTTTCAGTTGGGCCAGATTTTATCCTATGTATATATGATTTGAGAACTCTGAAAAAAAATGTCATGACATTGATTTCCTTGAAAAAGTTATTTGAAGATATTTTTCCTTTCACATTTTATTTTCCTCACTTCCCCATGTATCAGATGCTGTAGGGCACTTAACCTCCATCTGGGAATGTGAATGGAAAACTTCTTCCAATGCCTCTGACTCCTGATATCATGGACTATGCCTAAATACACAAACTGAGATCACATAATTTCCACTAGACCCCACTGGGCTATGAAACATATTTCCAAGCCAACTCTGAATCCCAGTATATAGGAAATCTGACTCAGTATGGTCATGACACCAGCACGCTGTTATGCATGTTTTAAATAGGAAGCAGGGCTATGTACTGATTAGTGTAGGAGTTGAGAGTCAAGAGTCCTTGGTTTTGCTCCTGACTGTTACTGACTCACTGCATAGCCTTAGCCAAATCGATTGTCTTTTTTCATGATGTGGCTTTTTGTATGAATCACAACTATGTATCTTCTAAAATTATGAGTAGGAAAAAAAATAAGCTTTCTGCCTCAGTTTGCCTTTCTGTAAAACAGGGGTGTTGACTGCTGAAACTGCTTTCAGATTTTCCAGTGAAAGGGGTTATATGGAAGTTCAGAGTAGTGTACTATCTCAGTTCCCGGAGTCAGAGATTACTGTTATGTTGCCATACATGAGAATTCATGATAATAAACAGTCTGACATTCTATGTTTTCCTATGCACATAATTACCAAAGGGGAAGAGAATATTTTGGGGGACTTTAAACTTTTCTCTTTGTCCTTTCTATTAACTGCAATCTTCTTGATTTAAATGCATACTGTATATAAATATTGAATTAGGAAATATGGGGACGTCTACACTACAACGTTAATTCGAACTAACTTAGTTCGAATTAGTTAATTCGAACTAAGCTAATTCGAACTAACGGATCCAGACTAGAAAACTAGTTCGAATTAGCATTTTGCTAATTTGAACTAGCATGTCCACATTAAGTGGACCCTGAACCGGGCTTAAGGATGGCCGGAAGCAGTGCTGGCAGGGCATCAGAGGAGGACTTAGAGCGTGGAGATGCTGTCTCAGGCTAGCCGAGGGCTGCGCTTAAAGGGTCCCGACCCCCACCCCGGACAGACAGTTCTCAGGGGTGCCCCGCTTGCAAAGCAGTCCTGGCTTGGAGTGCCCGGAGTGCCCACACTCGGCACATCACAGCACTCAGACATCAGCCCGGCTGCACTTGCCACAGGCTGCCATTTGGGGAGAGGGAGCAATCAGGGGGCTGCAGGAGAGCTTCCACCCCGAGGAGCCTGCAGAGCCAGCCCAGTCCTCCCCATCGGGGGCTCGTACCCCATTCCTCCCTCACCTCCTTCCACTTACCCTTCCCTAGCCCCCCTTCCTCATGTACAAAATAGAGGACACGTCTGGTCAAAAATGGAATCTGTCTTTATTGAACAAAACTGGGGGAGACTGGGAAAAGGAAGTGGGAGTGGGGAAGAGAGAGGCTGGGAGAGGGGAGGGCAACTAAAATGATCAGGGGTTGGGAACAGGTCCCATATGAAGAGAGGCTACAGAGACTGGGACTGTTCAGCTTAGAGGAGAGGAGACTGAGGGGGGACAGGATAGAGGTCTCTAAAAGCAGGAGTTGGGTGGAGAGGGTGCATACAGAAAAGTTCTTCATTAGTTCCCATAAAGAAGGACTAGAGGACACCAAAGGAAAGGAATGGGTAGCAGGCTTCAAACTAGTAACAGAAAGTTGTTCTTCACAAAGCAAAGAGTCAACCTGTGGAACTCCTTGCTGCAGGAGGCTGTGAAGGCTACAACTAGAACAGAGTTGAAAGGGAAGTGAGATCAAGCCATGGAGGTTGGGTCCATGGAGTAGTCTTAGCAGGGGGTAGGAGTGGTGTCCCTGCCCAAAGTTTGTGGAAGACTGGAGAGGGATGGCACGAGACAAATGGCTTGGTCACTGTCTTTGGTCCATCCCCTCCA